GTAATTGCAACCACCATGTTTCTTGGTCCATAAAACAACTTTTGGGCCCTGTTTTGAAGTGGACATTATTAGCTATGTGATATGAAACCCTGATCTACAAAGTATAAGGGTTGGTCTTCTCTCCCGTGATAGAGAAAGAACACGAATTAATACTATGTTAATTGGTAAGATTGGATGAGAAAAGGAATACGGAATTACCAGACACTATTTTGCTGATGAATTGTACACAAAGAGCTAAATTAAACATGACTGCCTCATTTTCCTTTTCTTGGAGTGAAAGGATCTAGAGAGTTCTACCATTTGTACTTTCCGAAAATATGCTTTCACCCAAAACCCCATTATCTTTCGTGGCTTCATCTGTCTTTCATGTCTTTATTTAAGCTTCCAGCTGGACTCATCATGTGCCCATTTTCATAAATTAGGAATGCTCCTCTTAGGATCTGAGCTACATTACAAGCTCATTTGGTAGCTGAATGAGGACAGTAATATTGATGATGTCACTTTCATTTATGACCCTTCAGCTGAGTTGATGTGTGCTTTTCATAGTAGTTGTGTTTTATTGGTATCTCTGAAGCAGAGGAATGTCTGCCCACTAGGGTCCTGATAGAGAGACTAAGGCTGTGATTGACACTGTGTTTATATTAGGACCAGAATTCTCAAAAGACCCTTCTATAAATTTCCATAATTATCATTATTCCTTTTAACAGGGCAGAAGGAGCTATTAAAATATTAGTTGGGGGAGGAAAAAATAAGGAACTCTGTCAGAGAACTCACTGGTTTGTTGAACGTTAAGGATAAAAATTTTAATTTTGGGACAGAGGTGTGGAGTTTCTCCTCTCTCTGTGTACCTCTCTCGCATCTGTCCTTTCTCTCTCTCTCTCTCTCTTTTTTTTCAAGTTTCTTATCTTGTTTTGTGGCTCTTTCATGATCATCAATTTTCTTTTGAAAACTTTAGTTTTACACATTTTACAGACGCGTGTTTAGTCGTAAGGCTATTTATTCCCCCTCACTGTGAATGTAAAATGAATAAATGAGACAAGGTTAAACAATAATAAAACACAGAGCTTCTTAAGAAAGAAATTTATCATCCATCTATCTACATACCATCTATCCATGTCTGTAGCTATAATTTTTCTGCCCCTGAAGTTTCAGGACCCCTTCTGCTGCTTCCTTGCAACCTCAAATAAAATTCTCAAAATGCATGTTTTCAAGTATCATATCTGATGTTTTTTATTCTCTTTTACATAACTAAAATAGGAACTTCTAAGAAAATCAGGACAATTTATAATTATAAACTTCATTAACAATTCAGTACTTTCTACTTACTGAAAAAATTTCAAACATCATCTTATTTTGTCTCTTGTATGACCCTGAGGAGTTAGGAAAGAATAGGTAAGAAACTTAGGCTTACTTCAAGTCACTTTGGGGCAAATTTTGAGAGGAAAGGATGAAATAAATTTCCTGAGATCTGATATGAAAAACAACCAATGAATACCCAGAACTACTAAAGACTCTCTAGAAAATTGAGCCCCCTTTGTTTTGTTCAGATTTAGATACAGACCACTGTAAAGAAAGTAATTCATCCCCACCAAACCTTAGTGTACATTCAAAGGTGAGCCCTTGGGATAGCCACTTAAGGTCATTAAAAGAAATGTCAATTAAAAATCCCCATCACTGGCTTTATAGGGAAAACAAAATATGCAGAATTATATTAAATTCTACTTCACATAGTCATAATATGAAGGCATAATTATACAAACTAACCCACATGCATTCAGTAAGAAGCATGTCCAGGCAGTGTACTATCTGGGGATACTACAGTAGAAAGTATTTAGCGGGCTGTCTAAGGTCGCAGTCTGAGAATAAATTTGGATCAACTTAGAGGCATCTTAAATTTACACAACTATTTGTGAAAATTTTACAGGAATTAGATTATAGTACAGGAAGAAGAAAACAAATGAGAAGCAATCTTGTTATATCACAGTTCTATCTGTACGTTAGCCCTTACAGCATCTCTGCACAATTGAGCTGCATAATACCTTTTGGGCTTAGGTAATATTACCAAGATTCTGGTCTGAGAAAATCGAAGTTTTCAAAGGTTCAGAAAATGCACATTGTCCCTCATTGGATGGCTAGAGTTCAAATTCTGATTTGCGTTGTTCAAAGTTATTGGGTCGTTGTGCTCTGTGGCATTACCTTTATGGTGGGTCAATCTCCTACCACTGATTGCTAATTGACTGGAAACACACAAACACTTGTAACTTTCTGTGCATGTGCTGAGATGGTTGGTTTAACTGTCAAGCTGACACAGCCTAGAATCTCCCTAGACAAGAGTCTGAATGGGAAATTATCTAATCAACTTGGCTCATGCACATGCCTATGGGGAAATCGTTTCATTGTTCTCTGATGTAGGAAGACAACACCCATTGAGGGTCACACTATTCCCTAGGAAGGTAATCCTGGGTGCATGAGGAAATAGGTTACTGAAAGCAAGCAAGCAAGCAAGGATGCATTTATTATGTCTTTGCTCTGGACTGAGACTGGGATGAATTGTAGTTGAGTCTCTGTCTTTGCTCCCCCAAAGAATTGATTGTAAATTAGAATTATAAGTCAAACAAATGTTTCTTTCCCTCTCCGTTGATGTTCGTCAGGACATTTTATTATAGCAACAGAAATGAAACTAGAATACATGCTAAGCCTGTGCTCTAGCACTAAGCATACCACCAGCCTCTTAACTTTTGCCTTTGTAAAATCACTAGTTAAGAAGAACTCTACTGGGCTGGAGAGATGGCTCAGCCGTTAAAGGCCAGGCTCACAACCAAAAATATGAGAAGAAGTCTACTTTAGAGATTGTTATATAATTGTAACCCACCACCCCAATCTTCCTTCTATAAAAATGCAACTTATTATTTCCTTGATTGGCCTTCAAACCTTAAAAAGGTAACACGCATCCTGGAAAAATGATAAAGAAATATCATTTCCCAGCTTCCACTTAATTTAAACTGTTATATCATGTATTTAACTTATTCCACAATGCCTTCCAACCACTTGACTTACTGAACAGGAAACGTTGCCAGCAAGCATTTTGAACACTCTCCCACTGATTTTGCTCATGAAGAGAAGAGGTCAGTTTTACTGGCTTTGCAAGAAAAACATTAGCTCCATGTTACAGAAAAAGAAAGCACAGAATATGTGGGTGTAATTGGTAGGGCTTTGTCTCTTCCAGCAAGAAAACTAGTCATTGAGATTTCTGAAAGCAGTCATAGTTTTACTTTGCTTTATTTGGAGCTTGATTAAATATTGGAATGAACAGCGAGACTATATTGCACTAAAGGATGAGGTAACCCATGTGATAAACAAATTTATAGGAAGCAGATCACAGTGTGGGCATCAGATAGTCTTCAATTAAGAGCAACAGGATTCAAGAAAGGGGATTTGCTCCATAAAATATATTCATATGTCTGCAGACTTAGGTGATGTACCAAGGAAAAAGAAAAACGTGTCTTCTCAACACTCTTATGAGAATACACAAAATGGCTAACAGTGAAATGTGTGGGTTTATAGACGTTATCTACTGTTGAACTCAGGCTATTAATACTTGAGAAGAGAATCAGTTGCTCCAAGGTCATTGTTACTCATAGCTACAATAGATCTATGCACAAATCACCAAAATCTGAGCATGTTGGAGGTCTAAGTGAATGGAGATTATTTATATGTACTAGCAGACATGAAATAAATATAAGGAATTATACAATGAAGCAATGAGGGGTACTCATTACAGGCGTTTAAGAATAGAGACCATGTCGCTTAATGATGCAAGAAATGATCAATTATCCAGAGTCAACAGTGAAAAAGAAATTGGTACCTTGTTTCAATATATCAGCTAATAATCAACGGTCTCATCTTCAGATTGGTACCAAGGGAAGGAAGATTCTGGACAACCACAGAAATGTCTGAAATACTATATAATAAACAAAGATTAAGGAAAAATCAGATTTGGTCTAAATATGTCAGTCTTTAGTAGCCACATCTACAGCAGAGGCGTCTTTAACTTCATTTCAAACAAACAAACAAACAAACAAAACCTATTTGTTCCTGGATTTTTCACCTGCTGTCATTACTTCAAGTACAGATTGAAATGAATATCAAGAATTAACATTTGATAGGTATGCAAAACCACATCTACTCCAAAACGGCCACACCTCCTAATAGTGTCAAATGGCCAAGCATACACAAACTGTCACACTCCAGGAAAGTCAAGTTATGTTATATTTCATGTAAGTTCCTAGAAAATGTAGTTTCCTGAGAGTTGTGGTGGCATCTGATCCTTACTGACTTAATGAAACTTCTCTGATTTATATACGAGTCTAAGCACCTTGGTTTAAAGCAGCACTATTGTGGATAGTCAGATTGCTTCACAATGGCAGAAAATTCTATCTGTCTTCTAATTTTCCTACTGCTCCAAATGTATTGGAATTAATTCATATACAATAAAGTTCTTCATTTTAAAGCTAAATTCAACCTTTTAGCATATTCATATAGTCTATAGTGACCATCATTTATCTAATTCCAGAATTGTAGACATCCCAATGGGAAGGTCCAAACCTGTTTAAGTCATTTAAGTTTCCTGCAAAATAATCAAATTTGTTTTCAATAGATACATGTATTCCAAAATTTTTCTTTCATGTTCCATGAACTCATTATAATTGGTACCTTTCATGTAGTGTGATATAATCAAGGTTCATCTGCTGCACAGCATGGGTAACTATTTGTCTTCTCTTTATGAACAAATCTTACTTTACTGTATTTTATATGCATTCTTCAGTAGAATTTATACTTTTTATCTGCGATGATGTTGAAGTTTTATGTGAGTAGCTGGGGTTGGATTTCAAGATCATATGTCAACTCATTGGTCACATTTCTGAGGTTCTACTAACTCTTCAACATGGTGGCAGCAGATTTTAGCCTCCTCAGCTATACTCTGCTTTTTTTTCCCACAGACTCCAGAGGAACTAGAGGATGTTTCTGACCTTGAAGATGACCATGAGGTCCGCAGTCACACCAGCATTCAGACAGAAGGGAAAACTGACAGGGTAAGTCATCTACAGAGGGATATCTCTTGACTGTGGGTAGTCCCTGTCAATCTAGGAAGCCTCTCATTCATGAAACAGTTGGATCTAGATCTGACTCTCTGAAACACAAAGAGAAAAGCCTTAGACTTTAGGAGTAGCATGCTAAGAAGGTATTTTCTCTGTCTTGAGAAGTCAGCCTGAGGACTCTAAGATGTCCTAGGAAATCATTCCTTGCTGTTAACCATTTTGTATAAGTCATGTGAATATGAAAGTGAAATTCATACATGTTCTTTTGGTGCAGAGAATAGAATGCAGGATTTTGTAAATATAGTCTGAAAAGATAGGAAACAAGATCTACTGAATCAGTAACAGGGACTTTTTGTCTTGTCTTGAATACTATCTTCTGCACCTCAAAACACACATATGCACACACACACACACACACACACACACACACACACACACATATTCAGAGAGAAAGAGAGACAGAGACAGACAGAGACAGACAGAGAAGGAAAGTTTTTCCTCTAACTTTTGTGGTAAAGATAGCCTATGTTTCTATTTCATCTGCATATACTTTTCTGAAAATAAATACCACTTTGTCATAGTCAGAAAGTATTTGGTAATATACGGCTCAAAGCTTCCATCTTGAGATTAGGATTTTTGCTTGTTACTTGGTTTGTTAATTTGCTTAGAGCTAATTCATACCAGGATCTGTCTGGAACACATAATATCTAAGTGTCATTTTCTTCAGATCTAGCTGTTATCATTGTTAAGATGTGGAGTCAGAAAGTAGCAATAAAGAAGAAATGTGTTTTGCTGCTGGCAAATTCTGCTTCAGGAGCTAGTGGAGTATGTTTGTGTCATTGGGATCAAGATAGGTCTCAAGGCTGACAAGCCATTCCTGGGACAAAGTTTGATTAACAAAAAGGAAACATTGTATCTGGATAAACATGACTGTTTTTACATTCAGGATTTACACATGTAGACGATGAATCCTTTGTTTAGACACTTCAGATTTCTTCAGATAGAAAATGAGGACTGGATCATATGTTTTCATGTTTCCTTGGTAACTTCAAATAAGATGATATGTATGGGGGTGTTTTAAAAGCTTTAAATCTTAATAATGGAAAGGTAAAACTTGTATTATCTCTATGTTTAATCATATCTAGTCTGTGTACTGGTTACAACACAGTTACATAAACCCTGTTGGGCCTTTCATAGGACTGCTTATATTTTTTAGGATCATTCAGAAATTTCTCTACATTGTAGAATGTCTTCCATCTGTATAGAGGTCTATAGCAATCTAGTTTCTCTTTATTGACTCTGTGTGAAAACCTCACCACATCCAGTAACAAGACTGTCTGATCTGCTAGAAGCAAAATTTGATTTCTCCTAACACACACCTCTGCCCCTTTACTTTCCACTCTGTATATTCCAAATGACTCAGGTATTCTTTCCATCTCTCCCTAATCCTCGCCTGTAAATATGATGTGAAATTCCTTTGGAAAAATGAGTAGTCATCATGAATCATATACCTCTACTTACACTCCTTTGGGTCTGGTATTCACATTCCTCAGACTCATTTATAACTAGCACGTTCTCTTTCATTTGGTGATTGGAAATTCTTAACTATTCTGCACATGTTCTCAATGGGTCCCCTTTGGAAATGATGAGTTTAAATGCATATAGTAATACATAGCTTGATAAAATTTGTTTGGCCACACTTCTGAATCATTATAGTCGTGTTATGGTAATAAGTAATATTAATCAGGGGTTTCTCCCTCACCTTTGATTATTCAGCTCCCAGATAAAAGACACAAAACCTTTATATTTACGATAAGCTTTATAAGCACTAGGGCTGGGCAGGTACCTACCCTCTATGCTGTCTACTTCCCTAGCAATAGCCCTGAGTTACAAAATACTGTGTTCCATCCTGGGCTTCTCTTAACTCCAATTGGCCAGCCCTCATGGTTATGTTTTCATAGCTCACCTATCCCATGATGTCATCTCCTCTCTTCACCTTCTCCTTTGCTTCCCTTCTCTTCAGACCTCAAGTCTGGGAACCAAAACCTTGCCTACCACTCTTTCGTCCAGCTACAGGCTGTTGGCATCTTTATTCAACCAATAGTTAGAAATTAAGGAGCAAGGTTATATAGCATCACTTGGTGTATGTGAGGATTCCCTCTTCCCTGAGACAACCAGAACTTAAGGGTCAGTATTTAGCACTACAATATATTGCAAAAGGCCAAACCTCAATAGAATCCTTCTCAAACAATTCCAATCCTTGGAGAATAAGCATTCAAACATATGAGCCTATGAAGTCCACCGTCATTCAGACCACAACAAAAACTTCTTTGATAAGTGAAAAAAGTTTTTACAATCAGATATTCGATTATTATTCATATGAGTTTCGTAGGACCTAAAACTGATGGCATAAATTCTATTTTAGGATAGAGATGAACAACAAGTACCATGAACAAACCTGACATAGTCCTAAGGGAATAAGAGACAGAAACCAACTCAGAGTACCAACGATGTCTTAGTAGTAGGATCTTGCCATAGTAAAATCTACTTGTAAACAGTAAAAATAAAAATTTTAAATTTAATTATTTCATAATATACACACTTTAACAGCATGTTTCAGTGTATATCTGTCTTATAAGTTAATTACAACCTACTTTACCTTTAAATTAAGATATGGATAATAATAACAAAAAAAATAGGACAAGCCTGTCTCTAACATAGATCACCTGACCAGATCCAAGAAATTGTTTTAATAAGTTTCAAAATCTTGGCTAGACATTATATGTCCCCAGCACTTTCCTATTCCTTCTAATGAAATGGTGATGCCGTGGCCCTTACTCTTGTGTCTGAGATCTTATCTTCTTATTATACTCAGAATTTTTGTTTGTTTTTTGGGCCCATTATACTGCTTCTTTAAATCTATTTCATGAATACCAACACTTTGGGGAAATACCATAAGATCCATCATGGATCTTTCTGAGAATCATTTGAATGATTATACCTGGCTCTGTGTTAAATTCATGGTCTCTAGGAAGACAAGTATTTGAATTCCTTTCTGTTCATTGCATGATGAAGGACTCAACATATATTTTTTTCTTTTTTGCTTCTTAAATTATGCACACTCTGTTATATTGGACATGCACTGGAATCAATTCCAGACACTACTTAGGCATTGAGTGACGGTTATTTATTATCATTTTATTCTCTGTGTTTCACTGCTAGTAGCTTTGGCTTAGCATCATCTGTTATAGCTGTCATCAGCTGTAAATGCCATTGGGTATTGTAAAGGTCTGTAACTAAAAATAATGATTCAGAGTCTGCAGACAATGAGAGACAAATATTAAATGACCAATAGTGCTTGCCATATGAAGTGGCAATTGGAGAGCCAAGCAAACATGATTATCTCAATATTGAGCACGGGAATTCTCTAAACCAATGGTGTTATTATATCTACTGAACAGGTCCACAGTGACACAGAAGCTTGCTTATATAATAGATTTACAGAAGATTGTTTACAGACCTTATTGTGTACTCTGTTCATGCTTTAATCAAACATAATATAGGATTTTTTAAAAAACAATCTTATATTTTAAAAATGAATGAGGTAGGAAAATAAATTTATCTTAAGGCTTATTATAGACTTACTCCCCAAATTTATGGTAGTAAAGCTTTTGTATCCACCTTTTCTTAAACTAGGCTATACCCAGACTAAATTATATTTTTGTATAAGCATAGCAGTTCTGAGTATTGAGTAATGCATTGTAGTTCACACAGCATCTCTTAGTTTGTATTTAGGTCTTTTAAACAAAAGACTTGACATTAGTATTTATTATTTGTCTCTCCTTAATTGTGGAAAGTGGAGAATGAGATTTAAAGAATTTAAATAGTTTATGCCAGTCATGTTGATTGTGACAAAATCATAGGTTTCCTGGCGTCATGCACACAGTTTCTAGAACAGCACATTTATGGTGTAGATTAAAGCTCTAAAGACTCAGTATAGAATTGACAGTACAACTCTCCCCTGGGAAAATGATTTATAGAACCAAAGACCATGTCATGAAATTAATCATTCCTGTAGGCCTGTTTTTTTTAAATACCTACTTTAATAAGCATACTTAAACATTTTAACCTCCCTTCTAGCCTACCACCCACGAGACGTAGTAGAAATGAAAGATAATAGGGTAAAGAAGGATGTGGACCTGTTTAGAAATAGTCCTTTGGGGTAAATCCAATCTGTGTTTTCAAAATATCAGCAGTTTTGTTCATACCAATCAATAGTAGTAGCTTGATCCACTCACAAACACCATCCATGAATCAGCAGTGGCAGTCTGATACAGAAGAAACTGTGAGGCTCTGCATATTGGCCTGAGTTCGAGGAAGTGGCAAGAAGCCACTCGAATACTAATACTACCAGAAATTCTTTGGTGCATTTGTCTCTACAAAGTCATGACAAATGATGATCAGCAAAGAGTGGCAAAGAAACTAATACCACACAGTGTCATCAGCAAGACCAGTATTAGCAAAGCCCGACAAAGACCAGCAAAGAGTGACAAGGTGAACCAATGCCACACGGTGTGGTCTACTGTCTGTTGGATTATATTTATACCCTTTCTAAAGATGACATGTTCTCTTAATTGTCTGCTCTAGCAAAACATCTCATGCCCTTTTTTCATGCAGCTTTCAGGAAAACACCATATGTCTGTTCTAAGGAAAACATCCTCCCATGTGTCTGCTTCAACAAAAGCATCATCCTCTCATAAGACAGTATCCAGAAAAATAGCATATGATATATGACACAGCTTAGTCTCAAAAAAAACCCCAGCAAATTTCCACTTCTTACTCCTACTTGAATCTTATAAATTTCTAAACGGCCCAATGCTAGATCTTCTATCAGTTGGAAAATTAGTTTGATGATCTACATTCAGCATCTACCTGGTAATGCTCATTCATTCACAATTTTCTGTGGTAGTTTATTTCCTGTTATTGAATGGGGC